CAACAAAGCAACTGGACACTGATAGGACTGAGTGGACATGCTAAGACTGAGGGACCACACAAACCAAATGACTATTGCCATGACTAAGCAAAGAAATGACCAACAAACTTACACTGTGCCAACATCCCTAGGGATGGCAGAGATGTCAGCATAGGATACTCTGAATTCAGGGACAGTGGTGGGAGGGATGGGTCAGGGAAGGATGAGGGGTGATGGAGTCCTTTTTCCTGAATGTTCCTAGGAACCTTGAGTTTCGTCCACCAAACCACAGATGCCTCTAAGGCTTCCATTGTTTCTGACCACAGCCCAAGTACTTCAGAGCCCTCACCTGTGCCTGAATCGAGGATCGTTCTGCACGAGGGTAAGATGGCCCACCTTGCTGGGATGGACGCACTCAGTACCTTCTTATAATTGCCATTTGTCCAATGGTCTTAAGAGCGCAGCACTAACTTCTTTTTTCTCCTCAGCCAGTTCGGTTTGGGGACGTTCAGCATAAGGAGGAGGAAAGCATTAAAGGGTCTATTTGAAAAAAAATAAAGGAACATTTTCTTTAAACCAGCTTGGATCGATAGGAATGGAAAGGCTCTTGGCTACGGAACCAGCCAGGTCATTTTTCTAAAAGACTGGAACAGGAGGACAGAGGGTAGACTGAGGAAGAGTGGGCTTGGACACAGAAATTGAAATTTCCTGATTCTTCCAGACCCTGAGTCTGAAACCACTTCTCTCCTGTTGTCCTCCATCAGCCAACTGACGAACACACACCTGTAGAGCGAGACCTAATTCTGATGATTGGAGAAGCAAAGTCAAGGCCCATATCCTGTAAACTCACATAAACGAAACTCCAGGCTTTGTTTCAAAGCCTTGAGGGCCCTGTGTAAGCACCAGTCCGGGCAATGAGGGGCTGAAACCCATTCCCTGAGGACTCAACTCACTAGTTCCCCCAGATTGTTCACCCCACTAAGCCCCCACTCAAGGAAAATGGATATGCTAATTCCCGTAAATGTCCTGAAGCCTCCCAGGAGCTAGAAGGGGCAGGAAGTCTGGGGAGAGAAGGCAGAGAAAGCCGAGCAGATGACACTGCTTCCAAGATCAATTGACTACTCATGCAGCGCAGCGCCAGCAGCCATTCTGCTCCCTCTGCTCCTGAGAGAAAAGAAAAATACAGAGCCCCTGCGCTTCCAGTGGCTTAAGCCACAACCCCAAGCTTTTCTCCCTGACCGTGGGGGGCCTGGAATCCAGTTGGTGGTCTTACACACCCCCTTCTTGTTCTTCTCTCCAACTTTCCCTCTTACTTGCCCCCAGATGTCAAGATCCAGGTCTTCAAGCTGGCCGGCAGGGAAGGGCTGAGAGAAATCTACAGAAAGAGTCCTGAACCTTGTCTGGTTTGGAGGTTGTCCGTTAAACAAAAAAAAAAAAGTAGTCTACAACAATGGATAAATTCCCAAAATGACAGTGTACTCAAGTAGTCCAAGTACATGTCTAGTGCAAATTAAGAGGGGCGTGTATGAGCAACACCACGCCACCCTGCAGATCCAGAGGCTAGAGATGTATTAAAAACAACTGTAGGGCAACAAATACGATTCTAGAAAAACGGTGATTTAACAAGAGGAAATATACCCCAACCAAATGTAGAAATTAAATCAAAAAGTGCTTTATGATCCTGAACCACTAACTCTTTTCTTCTAAAATAGTTGCAGACCTGGCCAGGTGAGTGTGCTCACACCCTTATAATCGCCAGCACTTTGGGAGGCCAAGGCGGGCGATCACGTTCCAGCCCCAGTGAGTCAAGACCAGCCTGGCAACAAGTAGTGAGGACACCCTCTCATTAAAAAATAAAACAAAGTTTAAAAAAAGGTGCAGAATATACATTTTAAATATAAAACAGCTTCATTAGTGGGCTTTTATTTCACGGAACATCAAAAGTAAAAATCTATACCATGGCTACTTTTATCAGACATGTCCAGAAAGAACCGGGTCATTTCTTCCATCCAGTCTTTCCCATAAGTGTCCCACAGACCGGAAGACACATTCCCGCTGGTGGCGGAAGTGCCCCTTCCTCATCCCCATCCCTGGGTCCTGCACCCTGGCTTTTCTTCTCTTTTCACTACCTCACAGATTTGCGTTTATGGATCTGTTTCCAAGAAGGCTGGCACTGCTTTGTCCACTGTGGACTCAGAGCTGTCTGCTTCATGTCATCCTGCCCGGGCAGGGAGGAACCTGAGTGTGAAAGGAGTCGCAGTGCCGACAGACCTCAGATGTGCCTTAAGGCCACGGGTCCAGTCCAGGCAAGACGAGACTATGACAGTACACTACTTCCACCTACACCATCCAGAACGTGTTAGAGAACCACCAATGAGAAACTTGGTGAGGAACACGAAACATTTTAAGCAAAATGTGCCACACTAGGTCTGCGGTGGAAAAGGTGGCTAATCGAAGATGGGATGGCACTCGAAAGCGGCAACGCAAATTTCAGAGCAGAGAGCTTTTTCTGGCCAGTTGCGGAGGAGATCCAAATCAGGGCCGTTGAAAGTCAGGGCTGATTGGCCGCCGCGTGCTCCAAGCCTGTAATTGCCCAGGCACTTGGAGGCCCGAGACGGGCCGAATCACGAGGTCAGGAGACTGACGAACAAATCCCTGGCTACACCCGGTGAAAACGCCTCATCTCTACTAAAAAATACAAAGAAACTAGCCGGTGAACCGTGGCGCGCCATGTAGTCCCAGCTACTGATGCCCGAGGCAAGGAAGAAGGCGTAAACCCGGAGGCGGAGGGCTTGCAGTGAGCTGAGATCTGGCCCTGCACTCCAGCCTGGGTGGCAGAGCGAGACTCCCCCCATCCCTGCCAAAAAAAAAAAAAAAAAAAGGGTCAGGCTGCCCTGGGCTCCTCCTAAAGGAGCCAACAATGTAATGTAGTACAGCCAGGCTGCCTCCAAGAACTCAGATTCCATTCCCAGAATTAATGGCCTCTGAGTGTTGTACATTCTCCAGCCTTTCAGCTGTCAAGCTGGGGCTCCTTGTGAATGCAGCTGGCAGTGAGAGTTCACAGCTACCCACCCACATCCAGCACTGGTTCGGACTGGGGACTCCATGTGTTGGCTTTGCTGAAGGTGCCTCGTTGCATAACCTGAGGGCAGGTGCGTTCACCTGTGCACCCCTCCTGCTGTGAGGGATGGGTTGCCATCATTGGTCCACATAAGCCTGGAAACTAAATCAGGCTGCCCGTGTCTGGGGATGGCTTAGAGATAAGGCCAACTACTGGGCTTCGGGCTTGTCATGCACAAAATGGGGAGAATAACATCTGCCCCGTGTAACTAAAGAGGTGACTGTGGCGGACTGAATGAGAATGCATATGGAAGTGGTTCACAACATTTAACAGGCACTATACCAACACCAGACACCATATACCTGCCAGTAATAAAGCAGAGAAAGAGGCCTAGGATGGGAACATCTGAAAGGGAAGAAACAGGCCAGATCGTAGCTGCCATTCATCGGGGACATGGAGGCACCCACTGTGCTATGGATTTTATATAGGCTATTTTGCTTGAAGGTTACAACCAGCCTGTGAAGTGGATACTATTATTTCACAGGTGGGGAAACTGAGGCTTGGTAGGGTGTGGGGGAGGTTAAGCAACTTGCCCAAGGCCACACAGCTGTAGTGACAGATACGGAATTTGAACTTGGTCTGTCTGAGTTCAGAGCCTGGAGAGATGGAGAGGAGAAGAAAGATCAGATCAGAAATGTGCTGAAGTTAAAAGGTTGACTTGAGATCCCCTGGTCTAAAGATCTCATTAAATAAACGAGTAAACTAAGACCCAGATGGCAGAGGTGGACAGAAAACCCCCATCGCCTTTCCTGCCCCGTGGGTCATATTCATTCCTGACGCCCAGGCTGTGGCTCCACAGCCATGCGCCGTCACAGGAGACGGCGGGGAAGAGGGTGAGGAACACTGGCCCTCCTCTCCAGATACTTCTCTCCCCACAGCTGTGCTGCATCCGGGACACCCCAACTTGCCCTGTCACTCCTTGTCCCATCTGCAGCCCTGGTGCCTCCCCTCTCCACAGCAATGTAAGCCTCATTTCCACACTATAGGACAGTGTACCCGGAAAATGTGGGTTAAGCTGGGGAGTGAGGGGAGGGCAAGTCACAATCAGTATAACAAAAAACTAGAATTGTAGGATTTTTAAAAAAATGGCAAAGCAACATCATGCTTCTCCATTAGCCCAGGACAGTGAGGCCTAGGAAGAAGACATGGCTAACACAGACATTGGTTACAATGAGAGCACCAAATCACCACCTGCCACCAGACTCTCCGGCAGCAGCAGCTCCCTGCTTCTATTTCATCATAAGATCTGAAGAGCTGAAGGGGAAGGGCTTTCAGGAATCCACCCAAGAGCTCTGGGATCCAACTTCTGTCCAAATGCCCTCAGAGATGGGGCACTCACACCTCCCAGGACCCCCTGCTCACTGCTCATTGTAATTATACCTTTGGACTCCCAGTATGTGGCTAAACTTCCTCTACTACTTTAGCACTGCAGCTTACTGCTAGACTTGTTAAAAGGTTGCAAAAAAGTTTAGAAGTTCATTACAATGTACTTTGAACTTTAAAATTCACTAAGAAGATACAAGAGACTGCTAATATGGAATCAGTCTGGGAAGACAACAGAATATAGTGAGAAAAACAGATTTTGATGAAGGAAAATGTGCACCGGGGCCAACACTGTCTGCACAGTGGGAATAATAAAAGCTTCCCCACACAATTATGGTGAGGAGTAAATAAGACAGCATGTCTGAAACCACCCAGGACAGGGCTGGGGCAAGGAGGAGCCCTTGAGAAGTGGCAGAGAATCTGAAAATGTACTTTCATCTCCCTGCACTTCCATTTCCCTCGTATCTGAGCAGGGAAAGCCGTGTATATGACCTGAAGTAAAATAAAAATGTATGTAATCGCTCCCTAAGTGGTAAGAGAGCTAATGAATGATCAACGAGGGCAGCAGATGACAGACCCACTGCAAGGTTTCTTGGACATAATCCTCTAAGTCCACATACTCTGGTAGGCTTCTCAACGCTTCTGGTTCTGTCCATGGGCCTCCACAAAGCAACAGGTTTGCATTTACTTGTCCCATGCAGGTGGCTTGGGACAGAGCACAGTCATCCAGCCCTTCCTAATGGGCAATGACGAAAAAGGGGATAACATTCCTTCTTGGGTGAAGATTGCACCTATAGCTCCTTGCTACAGAACAGATTTCTCTTGGCACTACTGACATTTTGGGGCAAAGAATTCTTTGTTGTATGTGGGGGCTGTCCTGTCCGGTGTATTGTAGGTTTTTTAGCAGCTTCCCAACCCCTACCCACTAGAAGCCAATAACATCTGCTTTGCCTTCCTATGGCAACAACCAAAAATGTCTCCAGACGTTGCCAAATGTCTCTTGGGGTTTACAGGCACCCCACTAAATGAGGGATATACTTTAGCACTGAATTTTTCTCCATGATCTCTCTTGGAAAAATGAACAAAGGGGAAAATCCCGGCCGGGTGCAGTGGCTCATGCCTGTAATCCCAGCACTTTGAGAGGATGAGGTGGGCAGATCACTTGAGGTCAGGAGTTTGAGACCAGCCTGGCCAACATGGCAAAACCCCGTCTCTACTAAAAATACAAAAATTAGCCAGGTGTGGTAGAGGACGCCTGTAGTCCCAGCTACACGGGAGGCTGAGGTGGGAGAACTGCTTGAGCCTGGGAGGCGGAGACTGCAGTGAGCCAAGATTGCTCCACTGCACTCCAGCCTGGGCGACAGAGACTCTTGTCTCAAAACAAACAAACAAAAAACAACAAAAACAACAACAACAAAAAGCGGGGAAATTCCAGGAATTGAGTGGCTGAACAGTTTCATATCAGAGTTCACTAGCAGAATAACGTTGTTAGTAAGTGAATCATTTTACTCTGACTGCCTGGACTAGTGTTGGATGACAATTACACTCTACCTGTAGTTAATACTAACTCGGCTACAAGAGGTTACTAAACAGGTTGTAATAAAAAATAACTGTGGCATAGACCAAATCTACTGTATTATTCTTCAATCTGGAATTTAGATCAATCTGGCAAACACTGACTGTTTCCCTCTTGCTTGTCAGCCACCTTTTGTTCAAAGAGGGGGCAAGAAAAACTATTTTTCAACAAAAGACTATTAGATTTAAAACCCTTATTTTCCTCCACTTTTTTTTTTTTTTTTTTTTTTTTGAGATGGAGTCTCGCTGTGTCGCCCAGGCTGGAGTGCAGTGGCGCGATCTCGGCTCACTGCAAGCTCCGCCTCCCGGGTTCACGCCATTCTCCCGCCTCAGCCTCCGAGTAGCTGGGACTACAGGCGCCCGCCACCACGCCCGGCTAGTTTTTTGTATTTTTTTAGTAGAGACGGGGTTTCACCATGTTAGCCAGGATGGGCCTCCACTTTTAACTAAAATTTTAAGATATTCTGCTGGTCAACATAAAAACCAAAAAATAGATGAATTGCAAAATTCAAGAATTATGTATTTAAATAACAGGCTAGCTTGCACCAGCTGCATTAAACTGATGGCTGTGACTGTAGTTCTGCTACATAGAAATTATACTTTGGATAAGCCCCAAAGGATTAATAATATCTGTCTACAAGGTTTGTTTTATTTTACATTACTCAGTTTAGTTTTATTTTATTTATTTATTTTTTGGAGACAGAGTCTCACTCTGTTACCCAGGCTGAAGAGCAGTGACACGATCTCGGCTCACTGCAACCTCCGCCGCCCGGGTTCAAATGATTCTCCTGCCTCAGCCTTCCAAGTAGCTGGGATTACAGGCGCCTGCCACTATGCTTCGCTTATATATATATATATATTTTTTTTTGTATTTTTAGTAGAGAGGGAGTTTCGTCATGTTGGCCAGGCTGGTCTTGAACTCGTGACCTCAAGTGATCCACCTGCCTCAGCCTCCCAAAGTGCTGGAATTACAGGTGTGAACCAGTGTGCCCAGCCTAGTTTTATTTTTATGTAATGAGTCAGGATTAATATTTAAATTCACGAGATATTAAAAATTCTGTCTTTCATAAAGAGGAAATGTAGCATCTCGAGAATTCAGACTCTGACGTCAGACAGCCTGCATTCAAATCTTGACTTCGCCAACATTTTGCTGTGTGACTTTGGCTAAATGCTTAATATTTCTATAGATCCAGTTTCCTTTTTGGCAAAATAAGTTTCCATACATCAGGGTTGCTATGAAGATAAGTAAGAGGACACATGTAAAGCACTCAGCACTGGGCCAAGAAAAGGCTCCATAAATGTTAGGGACACAGGTGTCTGTGGCTCTGAGAGCACTTGGTCATGCGGCAGTCTCACTGCACTCCACCAGCCTTGTGAGATGGCTAAGAAAGCACTCGAAGGCTTCAGAAGCCTCTTCCCTTCTAAACTATTCAGATCATCTTAGCAATTCAAGGAACAGCTGGTCTTGAGAGATGAGACTCGCCCACATCCCCCGGAACCCGTTGGACCCAAGCAGCACACCCAAACCAACCCCAGAAAGAATCCCTGAGCTTCTGCCACAAAGCTCTCTCCAAAGATCATGGGACCTTGCATAAACTCTCACTTTTATCCAAGGTCCCTTGGACTCTTTCCTGAACAATTCAGCCCACAGTCACCACCCAGTTGAACATAATAATAGTGCAATAGATTTTTTTTCCATCCCCAAAACCATGGACCAGGATTCTGCAGTAGAAGGCAAGGCAAACCCAATTGTTCTTAATGTTACACTGACCTTCTGCCTTTGAGACCTGGAAGCCACAGCACTGGTGGACATAAATTCTACTGCCTGCTGCTCCAGATCCAAGGGGAGAGGGTAGCCCTCTGGTAGAAATCTGTCTGTTGCCTCCTGGAAGAGAGGAAACCTGGATTCCTACAGAGCTTGAAATGGCTGTTTGAGGCTGAAGGGAGGGGTTGATGAAAGTCAATAGCTGTTTCAACATATTTGGCTTGACTGGCCCTGCTGAGGCCACTAACTCTTGAGGACATCTTTGGCTGGGTCTCAAGGGGTTTGCATGTTTCAGAGCACAGGCCCTAAAGCCGAATGATGGATGTTCTGGACATCACAAAGTTCCCTGTGTTTGAGTGTGCGCAAGGCAACGTAGGGAACTGCAGGGCAGGGAGGCAGCAGCCTGGGGTGTGGACATGATATGCTGAGCTGTTTTAAATGCCCAGAGGATGACACAGCTGGAAAAGGAGAACTGTCCTAGCCAACTGAGCTTGGCTAACATGGCAAACACTCACCATCCTAATGGTTCTTGTTTTATAAGGACACCAAAGGTCCCGCCCATGGAATGCTACAAAGTAGGTATGAATCACTGAAAGCTGAATCCCCAGGGAGGGAACATACAAATTGCACAAACTCATACTGCTTGAAGCAGGTGAGGCCAGGAGAAACACCTAGAGTCAGCTTACTTTGTTCACAGGTTTCTCTGGAATCTTTACGGACACCTCAGCTGGTTTTCCCTTCTTTGATGGCGTTCTCTTGATTTTGGGTGAGTGGAATTTGTCCATCAGCTTCATGGTGAAGGAAGAGAGATGAGAACGCTGAGAGTCTGAAAGCAAAGAGGGTACTGACTGTTAGATGGGAGTGGGAAGAAGCGACGGTTCATTGACCTTTTGTGGAAATGAGCAATGTCCCCAAACCCATCTTTTTTCTTGGCTGTTGAGAGTTTCAAAGGAAAGGACGTATGGATCCACTACAAAACATTTCTGCTTACATGCTTCAATTTTTGCAGTTTTCACCAAGGAATTGTGGAAATCAAAGGCAGTCCAAATAAATATGGAAAAAGAACTTGCAAATATTCCCAAGTGTCCATAGAGAGTTTGTGTGATGATCTAACTAACATCCTAGGGAACTGGCTAAGAAGAAAGAACACTCAGTCAAATCACAGATGTGTAGGAGGTGGGAAGTGGAAAGGAAGGCCCTTTCGAATCCACCTCTTCACTCTTTAGGAAACTGCAACAAGTGACAGGTGCAAGGCTCTGGAGTTGGCAGCAGTGACTGAACGAGAAGTAAGGTGTTCAAAACCCTCTGGGCCATGGTGAAAGACTGAAGGACTTGCCCCAAAGATCAGGAATTAAGACTAGGACATCTGTTCTCGCCACTCTTATCTGACATTGAACTGGATCAGACCTAAATGTAAGAGTTACAACTGTAAACCTCTCAGGAAAAAAACAGGAGTTTTTGTGACCTTGAATTTGACCATGTTTTCTTAGATACAAAACCAAAAGCACAAGTAACAAAATTAAAAAATAGAAAACTGGACTTCATCAAAATTAACACCTTTTGCACTGCAAATACTACTACTAAGAAAATGAACAAACCCACAGGATGAAAGAAAATACAGTCATGTTTTTTCATGAACTCAAGGACAGGAATGAGTTCTGAGAAATGCATCATTAGGCGACTTCGTTGTGCAAATGTCATAGAGTATATTCAAATGAACCTTGATAGGATAGCCTACTGCACACCTAGGCTATATGGAGTAATACCCATTGCTCGGAGACCACACACCTGTACAGCACGGTACTGTACTGAGTACCGCAGGCAACTGCAATACAATGGTATTTGTGTATCCAACCATATCTAAATGTAGGAAAGGTACTGTAAATGGTATAAAAGATTAAAAATTCCACCTGTGAAGGGCACTATCATGAATGGAGGCTGCAGGCCTAGAAACTGCTCTGAGTGAATCAGGGAGTAAATGTGAAGGTCTAGGACACTCCTGTACACCAGGGTAAACTTTATAACCGTGGCACATTTAACCTACACTAAATTTATTTTTAAAATGTTCTTTCGTCAATAAGTTAACCTTAGCTTACTGTAACTTTTTTACTTTATAAACTTTTAATTAAAAAAATTTTATTCTTTTGTAATAGCTTAAAATATAAACACATAGTACAGCTGTACAAAGCATTTTTCTTTTGTTTTTTTGAGATGGGGTCTCACTCTTTTGCTAAGACTAGAGTGCAGTGATGTGATCACGGCTCACTGCAGCCTGGAATTCCTGGGCTCAGACATCTTCCTGCCTCAGCCTCTCGAGTGGCTAGGACGATAGGCAAGTGCTGCTACAATGCCTGGCTCATTTTTAAACTTTTTGTAGTGATGAAGTTTCACTATGTTGCCCAGGTTGGCAAAAATATTTTCTTTCTTTATATTCTTACTCTTTAAGCTTTTTTCTATTTAAAAAATTATTATTTTTTTACTTTTAAAACTCTTCATTAAAGACAAAGACAGACACACATTAATCAGCCTAGGTCTACAGGGGCAGGATCATCAGTATCACTATCTTCCACCTCCCCATCTTGTCCCACTGGAAGGTCTTCAGAGTGATAACATGCATGAAGCTGTCATCTCCTATGGTAACAATGCCTTCTTTTATAACACCTCCCGAAGGATCTGCCCGAGGCTGTTTTACAGTTAATATTTTGTTTTTAGTAAGCAGAAGCATAACCTCAAAAATGATAAAAAGTACAGCAAATCCATAAGCCAGTAACATAGTCATTTATTATCATTATCAAG